TCAACTATTTGGATGATGTAGTCTGAATCTATTTGTGAAAATCAATGTTGTCAAATATCATATTTTACATTAACTTGGAGAAAAGTTTGCATACAGAACACCCAAATAATGAGATTGTTTTCTTCAGGTGATGTAGAATCAGGTGTCGAAATAGGACGTGCTTTGTGCTGTGTATAATGTTGAAGAAAAGATAATGCTGAATGACAGTGAAACAAGATTGCTCTGGGGACAGAAAACCAGATTTCGAGACCTTCACCTTCAGATATCTAAAAATGCAGCACAGATTGCAAATGACTGAAAATCCTTAGCTTCTGGCAGCAGCCTGGTGCTCTGTGCTAAAGAGCTGGTGGTCACAGTCCAAGTCCCTGCAGCAAGGAGTTCACGTTGTACATGGCACTATCTGGCGAATCTTTGTGGCAGTCCAAAACGAGGGGCAGGAGCTGACTTGGCACAGCAGCCCGTGCTTTCCCTCATCTCAGAAATGTTCTCCCTAGATAAGGGCTGAGGCATACGTGCGGGTCGAGAAAAGTCCCCACCCCTCTTGCTCTACCAGCTCTCCGTGAATTAACAAAGGACTTCGTTTTCAAGGACTATCAGGTTTTGCAGTTATTATTTTTTCAGAAGGGCTAAACTTAGAGTGAAGAGTTGGAGGCCCATCTGGTGCAAATCGGTGGGGGCTTTGCAGGCTTCAGCAGGGCTACGCTGATTTACACCAGATGATGCTGTTAGAGAACTGAACTACCCAACAATAATTATTAAAAAATGTCTTTGATTATGCATGTGCAACAACTATTTATGTTTACATTGCAGAGATTTGCATGTAGCACAGTGGGGAGTATTTTATCTCTTCAAAACATTGCACCAGCATAAATAATCCTCTGACATTCAAATGAGCAAAGAAATACCCGCTTCCTACCACAAGATGGACCATAAAGGTTTTTCTTTGTGCATCTTTTCCAAACAGATTTGTCAATAATCCTCAAATGCAAAGTTCATTCTAGAGAAAAATATGTGGGAAAGGCAAAGAAAAAGAGAGATGTTCTTTTCTAGGTAGCTGTATTACGGACTGCAGGAGGGCTGATCACCCTGCACCTGAGAGGGAAGGAGATGGGGTAACCAGGGGAAAGCAGGGCATAGAAATGCTGTATAAAAGCCATCACTGTACCTCATTCAAGACTGTGTTCAAAGCAAAAAGTCAAGGAATAGGAGCCAGCTGAAATTCAGATTGAATGGTTGAAGCGACTGGACACAAAGCCTATCAAAGGCAAAGATGAGATAACTGTGTGAAAACTGGGAGATGTCCCGTTTCAGCCCCAGCCTGGAGCAGCACAACAGAAGTCACCACCAGGGGAATTACACTGACATTTAAACTTTCAAAACAGAAATTGCTTAAAATATGCAGTAATCTGTTGTACCTTTAACTCACAAGAGGAAAGGAGGTTGAAAGCATGGATAATATTCCTTTGATTCTGGAACAACATACAAGGGTCTCCTGATTTGACTTCTATTGTGCTTTTGTTTTCTATTTGCTAATTGTGATTTGGAGATTCTCGGAAGGCACTGAGCTTCCCAAGTGGGGCATGTAGCCTTACTCTGAATGTTGCCTTCCTGCTCCGATGTGGCAGAACAGCCACAAGGACATCTCATCTCATTGTACATCCTTGGAGCTCAGATCTCTCTGGGAGGCTGCTACTTTGTATTCATATCCAAAAGACCTCATTGCCTTGGAACAGACGCTGCTTTGGCCCAAGGTGTTGAGGCATGAGCACAAGCAGGCACAGTGATGAAACTCAGATTGAAAGACCTAAAAACTCTATGCTCTCAGTTCTTTCTTCTGCTGAAATACGGAAGGGGAAAAAAAGCCCACACACATAAAGGTATTCCTCACTTCTAACAGAGATAGATTTTGCCCCATATGAGAAACCAGACAGCATTGAACTCAGCTGGGTGGTACACGAGGACTTGGTCTATTGCCCCACACAAATCACTTGGCCTCCTCCTCCCTGTCAATGAAATGAGGGTGTGATAGTGACAAGGTGCCTCTTGGGAGCACTCTGAATGGATATATTTTTTTTAATTTTAAATTTAGCTCTTTAAAAATTATATGTGTCACATAAATGGTCAAGTTATTAAACTGAATTTAATTGGCAAGGGCTTGAGAAAATTTTCTCTCGTAAAGTGATATCTTTGAACAGGTGAAGGAGGTGGTGTGCCTGGCCCTGTTATGAGGATGCCATTCTGTGTGACATAAAATAAGAGCAGGGAAAGGAGAGCCCACTCAAACCACCAAGTCACTAAAGGGGAAAGTATGTAAGGCATCCACTCAGCATCAGAGAGGGACAGAAACCTGTGATTTCTGAAATCAACAGGGTGAAAGCAAGCTTCTCTAAAAGTGCTGGCTGTTGCATTGATGGGAGAAGAGAACAGGCCTGTGTTCTGACAGAGAAATTCAGCAAGGGGAGCATAGCTCAGCTCGGAGCACGTGAGCACCAATCTGATAGGACAGATCTGCACTTCTGTGTCTTTATGGATTTGTTTTTCCCTAAAAGCAGCTCTCTCTATTTTCATGCCTCTTTGGAGGAAAAAAAAAATAAGCTACGGTTTTTAAAACCCAGACTCTAATCCTGGCAAAGCAGCCAAACCTCCAGGCACTCAGCTCACCAGAATTTCAGTACGGGAGGAATCTGTCACTTCATCACTGCAACATGGGGCCAAATTCTCAAAGATGTCCCTGCAACGAGACTCAGAAATCTGCTACTAAGCCATCAGGGGATTTGCGTTCACGGTTTGGGTTTCCAACATGACAATAGGAAGTTTAACTCCAAATGCCACTGCACTGCACACGTGCAAGAAAAAAACAGAGTCAGAAAAGCCTCTTTTCATTTTCTGGGACAAGCATGAGTAAACTAAAGTGACAACTGTACTTTTGCTTTGCGTTCAGACTCCCTTTGATTTTAATGACAGCTTGGACACCCAGAAGCTGTGTTCATATAGAGAAAGCTCATCAGAAGTAAAAAGAAGGGAGAAAAAAAAGAGAGAGGGAAAAAGAAATCTCGCACACAAAAGTTTCAAAACTTCCCTAGTTTTGAAATTAATGAATGTTGAGCACTGAAGCCACTCAGTGCGTATTCATTTAATACTCCTGAAACTTTCTGTGTTAGCGAGTGTAAAGCTATCTCCAGACCCTTACAGGGGCCACGTCTTACACACGAGATGAATCATTCTGACAGCACAAGGCCAGCCTGCTCCTTCTGCAGGGCAGGCAAAGGTACCGCCAGGTCACTGCTGCTTGCTGTGTGAGCAGAGGTGCTGAGGGGCTCTGCACTGCACGAGGCTGCATAGGACACGATGGGATTGGACAGGTGCAATGCAGTTTTAGGCTGATCTTCCCTAATAGCACCAGATAGATTGGGCTTTTAAATCTGATGCTTGCTGTTCTCTTGGTTTTACTCCCCATCTGGATAAATGTTTGTCTTTCTAACTTTATTGTTAACAGGTTTGTCATAATTTTGCTTATTCTGTTGTTTACACATTTCTAATTTGGTAGTAATGTTGTTATTGTTGTTAACATTTGCATCTAACACGTCACTGCCACGAACCACATTGTGCTTTTTCAAGTAGCAGCATCAGAGTTACTGTGTCACCCACAAGAGAAGTTTGGGATGACCCGAGAGAGGCATACAGCAGATGATTCACTTAAATGCATTTCCTGTGTTGTCATGTTCATGCAGTCCTAAAACATAGCGTACAATCAGAAGAGGCAGAACCTCGATTGAGCAAAGTACATTTGCCAGAATTTAATGTAGGATTTTGAGACTGTTCTCTGTCATCTGCCACTTGAATTGCAATCATGCAGTTACTTGCCTGCTTACAGGTATATAATACTAAAATACTATAATGTGATAAAAAGTACAGCAGTAATGGCAGGGTGACACAATCCTAGGCTGCAGCAAATGAGGACAAGCCCAGTTGCAACAGCCATAGATACAGAAACAAAAACAGAAAAACTGCTTACCTTTGGAAGGCCTCAGTTACACAAGGATCTCCAGAGAGATCCCCTCACCTCCATGCCAGCCCTTAAATGAGGGCTGGATCCCAACTCCACCCCTTTTCATCACTCAGGTGCATAGTATTGCATGCCCCTGAGCTCCCCCAGGTTGGCCCTACCTTCCCACCAGGCGCTCAATCACTGCTTTCAGGCCATGACTTAGCATTTCTGCTACAAAGTAATTCAATATTTTCTTGCACATGAATTTGTTATATACTTTTTCTGTGGTATGTAACAAAGTACAAGTAGAAGAGCTGTAAAAACTCATCAGCCTGCAGTTTTTTTTCTTCTTCACTTTATTCTCCTAGCTTCCTAACACCTAATAAATTAATGCTTAGAAAACCCATGTATGATGCAGAGAGACAACGCATTTAAGCAACTCATTTTGCTTTCTTTATCTCTCAGTGAATGCCTTCACAGCCATGCAATGCCATTATCCTCACACAAGGATCTCTGCCTCCAAGGTTTTGACCAGAAAGTCTTATCTAGATTTGAGAAGTCTTAAAGTTTAACTGAAACTGATGTAATTTATTTCCAGACATTTGTATTTTCCAGTGGAAGGAATATATCCACATGTGGGATTGAACCCAGTGCTTTGGCTGGAGCTAAAGTGCTAAAAAGTCTCCAGATCTCCTCTGGCAACAGTTCATTAGGGCTGTGGATAGATGAGCTGACTGTGACCTCATTCCTCTCCCAGGACCAGCAGTGTGAGAGGGCAGAGCCCAACATGAAATGGGGAACAGCCAGGGCTCCTCAGCAAGAGCAAGCCGACACTCTGACTAATTTGCAGTCATCATTTGTTTCCCAGGTTATCTTCTCTAACACACAATTTGATGGCATCCTTAGTATTCTCCCCTCCCCCAGAGAAAGATGAAGAACTGCAGAATCCATTGTTTCCCACAGCTCTAAGACCAGCAATAAACACACAGCACCATTTTCTCACATAAAAGCATTTTAATTTTTGACAAATTCCATATCACAAATGCTATTAAAAAAAAAAAAGCATTGTTACTGGGATGGTGAAATGCTAATAAAACATTCCTTGAACAAAACAACCCTAGTGTGTAGGCATGTGAGCAGAGTGATCACAGTTTTCGGTGTCTCTTCTTCATACCCATTTCTTGAGCAACCCAGAGCACCAATGGCAGTGAGCTGAAGACATCAGTCACTGCAAACACATTGCTGAAGTGATGTCAGCTGAGTGCCACTGTCCTCCCTTACCTCAGGCAGATCTTTGGAACAGCCCAACACCACAAAGCCAGCTGGAGAGGAGCATATCCATCCCAAATGTTTGCACCAGTGATACTGAAAGTGACTGGGAGCTTGCTGGGTCAGCATGGCAGAGCAGCCCTGTGGAACTCAATTGAATGACACTGCAGTGCACACAGCAAGGCTCACCTGGCTCCACCGGACCCCACACCCCCAAATGGTGACACCAGGTGCTGCAAAGCCACTGTAGTGAATCCTGTGCCATCTGCCCTTCTGGCTGTGAACACAGACTCCTGGACATGCCAGCCAGTCATGGCTGCCAGAGCAATCCCTGGGCAACAGCTTGTGTGAGGGACAGGACCGTGTCCAGATGGCCCTGGATTTTGAGAAACTGCACTGAGAGAACAAAACTGAGCTCACCCCTCCCACATCAGCAGTGAGGGAGGAGCTCTTTCTGCTCCATATTGCCCACACCTTGTCACCTGCCATCCCTGACAACCTCACTGCTGACAATGCCATCCCATCACTCAGGAGAGCTGGCAGTCATCCCCCTCTCCCCCAAATGGTACTGCCTCTCACCTCTCCTCTACTGCCCACCCAAGGTCCCACTCACTCTGCTGCTGGCCCCTTCTCCCTTCTGTGTCTCTTTCCTCACTGCAGCCTCCCATCTGTCACCCAGACCAAGCCCAAGCAGCAAATCACTTCTCTCAGCACACTGTGCCCTTCTTCCAGACATCTTCTACATGTCTTTTTCTTCCATCCTACAGTAAGGTCACACTTCTTAACCTCCCTTTCCAGATGCTCACGTGCCTTTTTTCATGCCATTCTTCCTGACTGTATCCCAGTTTCTTCTTCATCAACAGCGCCAGTTTGGATCCTCTGCTCAGCCACCTCTTCTACTGCAGTCTTTGTCCTCCAGTGCTGGTACCCACTCCTCACAGCACTCTGGTGCCTTACAGTCCTACCCTGTAGGAAGCGTTTCTGAAGTGGGAACTTAAAGATCATAGCAAGTAGGTTAAATGTAGCAGCCAATCTATGACACAAATTGTTTAAAGTTAAATGGACACCCAATATAAAATATGTAACAATGTTATAACAGTGACCATTCTTCTCTGCACCAGAATGAATTTATCCTATAAGTTTTTTCCCTTTAAGGAGCTCTTGCTGTGATATTGGATGGACACCTTTTAACAAGGCATAGGTTATTGCACAAAAGCAGCACCCAAGCAAAAAAAAAAAAAAAAAAAAAAATTAAAAAAAACCTTTTCTATTTACTAGGATTTGTTGTTAATAGGGATATATTTACTGATAAGACTAAGGAGATTGGATCGCTCTTCCCTCACCACCTAACAAAACATGGTTTCCCAAGAGAAGAAATACAAGCTTGTAGAGACCTCATCTTTATAATAGTACTACTGAGGCCCATTTGTGAAGAAAACCTGCTCTATGCTGCAAAACCAGTTCTTCTCACTAATTAATCTCTTTGCTCCAGAAAATAAGTATTTCTTTCTGACTCTTTTGTCTGCCTCAGGCACACCATGAGCCCATTCTTATCTCCCTCCCCTTCTCACCAGTCTCCTCTGTATCATCAGTGACCACTGATAATCACATGTCAGGAAGCACCTTGACCCTCATCCCAGCAGTGCGAATAGGTGAGGTGCACAAAATGTTCATCAGCTCAGTTTGCCAGCTTGCCTGGAGTCGGGTCTTGTTGATTGGATTACATCTGAACAGCACTCTAGCTACCTTAATATCAGGAAGTTCAGCAGAGCCCCTGCGATTGCCACCTCATGCCTATCATTTGAGGAACACTGAGGCTTTATTTCTCCTGCTATGAAATAATGACTAACCAAAGCACTGAACTCTGATAGGCAAAAACTCATCAAGTATTTGCAAGTGTTCTGCCATTTGTCCCTCTGTGCTCACTAGAGTTGTTAGCACTGAGCTGAGACTAAGGAGGAAAAGCCCCCACACAGCAGCTGGGTCTACAGCCTAGACTAAGAAGCATAGAGAAGGGTCATGGAAATCACCCTGAAGTTGTTCCCCACGGCTGTGGGAAGGGACCAATTCTGCTTTACTCAGTTGTGATCCCCAGAAAGGCAGACAAACCCCATTCTGTTTTTCTGTGTGTGTACTTACAAGGAGTCACATTCAGACCACAGACAGAAAACATGCAAGAGCCAGATATAATTATTTCTTACCGGGATTTAAGGATCTGAGATTTTAGGGTCCTGAGCAACACAAAAGTTTCAGAATCTGTCTATTTACTTCTGAAGAAGCTCTGAAAGAGACCAAGGAAATGTTAACACTTTAACAGTTAAATCAGCTTTCCTTATTCTGCATAGGACTGCAGTCCCCAATCTGTAGTCCTCTGTGGTTTTCTATAGCAAAGGAACCTCTTTAAGAAGTTGAAATTGAGGCTGGCAGGCAGCACAAAATAAAACATAGCTTGCAGCACATGACTGGTGTGAGTGCTGCACTCATGACCCTGGTAGGCAGAGGGCTCCTCCAGCTCCTTCCCCTCACCCCAAGCAGCAGATTTCAGCCCTCAGCCAGGACAGACCTTGTGCTCTGCAAGGCCAATTTCCAAGGGACCAGAAATGGTGACACCAGCAGATGGTTCTGTGGCCAACGAGAAAAATAACAGGGGGTGAAAAAAAATAAATAAAGTGCAACATATTGAAAAACTGCATCTTCGTGGATGGAAATGGAAAGCATAGCAATGACAACAGAGCAGCAAGGTCCCAAGATACAGCAAGTGAGGATCTGCTCAAAATCAACAGCCTTGAGCACAGAAGAGAGAGGGAGAAGGAAGAGGAGGAAGAAGAACAAAAAAAACTTACCTTCCAAAGATCACAGTTTTGCAAAGACCTCCTGCAACAGACCCTCACCTCCACTTCCAGCCCTTAAATGAGGTCTAGGAAGGGGTGGATCCTGGCTCCACCCCTTCATCACTCAGCTGCATTGCATTGCATTGCATGCACCTGTGCTCCACTGGGTTGGCACTGCCTTCCTACCAGGTGCTCAATCACTGCTTCAGGCCATGACTTAGCATTTCTGCTCCAATCTTCCAGGAAGAAATTCATTTACCTCTTCATTTTAGTTCCCTTGTTAAGGGGAGCCCAGTCAGGATGAGGCCCAAAGAGTATCCAAAGTGTAAGTCTTGTAACGGTGTAGAAACACCCAGACTGGATTGAGTGCTCCAGTACTTAGACTCAGTGATCCTTATGGATCATTCATGAACTCTCCCAACTTGGGATATTCAATGGTTCTGTGATACTGCAGAAGGCAGTTTATAGATGAGTTTATAGATGAAAAATCCATCTAGCAAACCTACTCTTTGTCCCGTTACGTTTAAATGAAATCAAGATACCACTGTTAGTAATACATCCTCTGTGTTTCATGGGGCACACAGAGAAAGATTGGAGCAGAGAGCAAAGCTGAGTGCCTCGGGAAGAGACGCGCATCTGGGTGGTCATGCATGGAGCAAAGAGAAACCAGTTCTACAAATGTACCAGGAGAACATCTTCCTTCTCTTAGCCAGAGCTGGAGTTAATGTGTAAAAGCAGAGCTGGCTCCACCTGACACAGACTGGGCAAAGCAGTTATTCCCAATGAAATCCATGACCATTGCAGACTGGAAAGCAATACACGGACATTCTTCTCTCCCCTTGCTTCACATTTCACCTTCTTTCCTTTTGGATGATCCTATTAAAAGCAGAAGATATTTCACGTACATTAGGTGCTCAGCTGGCATAAGCTGGACTTTGGAAAGTTATTGTAATTTATACACCCTCAGGATCTAGCTGTAAGCTCTTCATAAAGCAGTCAAGCCCATGCCTTGTAGAAATTTGCTCTCTGAATGAATCCAGACCATTTTAGCACAGGATACCTTTTGATGCTTGAAAATCTGGCCGAAGAGCCATCAGCAAAGGGAAATAATGGGAGGAACAAATTATCAAATTATCAAATTTGGGACAGGTGTCCCCCAAAGAGAGGCTGGGCTGCCTGTGACCTTCCTTTGAAAGGCTCATTTTGTGCACCTCCCGTACGACCAGTTCTGTTACACATTAATAGTCTCTTTCCATAGCAACACCTGACCCTTCCCTCCCCTTGCTGTGATTATACATACATATATACAGATATATACAGATATATTTTCCCTGCCTGGGGAAAGGATGGACAGCTGACAATTTTCTGTGGCATCAGCACAATTTAATGAAAGGAAGGCTTTTCAAACAGCAAGAGAGCTGGAATGCTTCTTTAAAAAGAGAAATATGGGGAGTCGTGGGATCCACAACTGTGTCAACAGCACAACAAGCTGTTATCTGTCGCTTCAACCTGGCTCCTGCTTCCAGAAGACTGTACAGTGACAAGTATTGAATAAATGTGGGTGACAGCACTTTGGAAATGGGCCACTGCCAGTGCAGCTGCAGGGGATGAGAGGTGCAGGGAAGAGCTCTGGGCTGGGAAAGGCGATGGTCCACTCTGAGATAACAGTTCTCTCACAGACAATGCGTTAATGTTGGTCTGCAAGAGCCTGGCTAAAGTCCCAGCCCCACTCCTACCACTGCTGGTTACTGCTTTTTGAATTTGAAAAAGGTGTTTTGTGTTTGAAAAATCTTTCACGGCATTGTTCAACCCGTGGTATGTAAAGAAGGTTGGGCACAGCTCAGCCCCCTGATACCTCCTGCAAGAAGAGAGTACAAAGACAACAGAGTTGTACCCGGGAGGGAAGCAGTGCCCAGCAGTGGAGCACGCAGGGGCTGGAGAGCAATTCCTTCCAGAAAATATACCATGTTTACAGGAAAGCAGAAGTTTGGACAAATGCAGAAGCAAGAATTAAAGCTGTGCACAAAGCAAATCTGTAACCAAAGGGGAAAAATGTGATCAGGTCCAAAAACACACCATCGAGCCACTCGGAGTCAAGAAAAGAGCTTCTAATAAAAATCCCTTGGAACAAGGGATAGCATCTCTTGATAAAGCAGGTAACACACGTGAGTGCCACCCAGCACTGGGCCACAGATTGGTTCCATGATGCTGAAATGTTGGGGTGAGAAGACCAGGTCCTGTAGGTTGGTCCAGTATGATTGGTTGAAGATGCATTTGGAGGAGTTGAATCCTATAGGACAAGCTTAGGGTAAAAGCAGATTCCCTGATTGGGTTAACAGAAAAACAAAACAGACTTTTTGCACTGATGGAGCTGCTCAATTATAAAACAATAGCTTGCACAGAAAGACACCTTTGTATCTAGGAAATCCAGCACAGGATGGATCCGCAGCCTAGAGATAAGGGAGCGGGCAGGTAAATTGAAGGCTGGCAATGACCCAGCACTGCAAAAGAGAGCACTGGAAAGCATCAAGTGTGTGCTACTGATACTCAGCGCTCCTATGTGAAGAAAAGGTATTATCCAGGGGAAAACAATCATTCATAGGGGCCAAGAGATTAGGGAGCATGTTTGTTCCAACTGCGAGGAACAGGAGGCAGCCTCCCAACATACCCAAATATCTTAGCATCTCTCATTAGAGCTGATGATTTTCTTCTCCTTTTCCTCTCCCCGATGAAATAGATATTCTAGTTTGTTGTGCCTGAAACATTTTGATTCATCCCCAAAGATCCACAGTGAGGATAAAGCTCGGGGGCTGCGGGGCCATCAGTTCGGGATCCCTGGGTTCACAGCCCTGCAGCAACGCCGCCAGAGAGGCTGAAACAAAGCAGGGTTGAAATTCCCAATTTGTTAACCTTATGGACCCTCTGAGGCTGCTTACAGCCATAAGAGTGAAAAAGGATGGAGAAGGGGGAGGGAAAAAAAAAAAAAAAAAAAAAAAAAAAAAAAAAAAAAAAAAAAGGCAGTGCATTCCTTGCTTGATATTATTATCCTTGGACCGGCGTGGGCTGGGGACCACTGGGGCAGAACAAAGAGCCAACGCAGACATCGGCGTGCTCAGACGGAGGGTCCCACTTGCTGAATGAGCCAAAAACTTTTGACTTTTTAATCCCAACCTCAGTCAGAAGGTTATTAGACCAATGACCGCTGGGCCTAAACCAACAGCCAGCCCCCAGCTGACGATTCCTCCCGATTATGCTAATAAAACCCAGGACTGCTTTGAAGCCAAAGGATGTTTCTGCTCTCACCGTCCACTGAGAACCACATGTGACGCTCCCTGAGCGTGGTTCCTCCGGCATTCTTGTGCATCACCGATGAAATATGGTCCCACTAAAGTCAGAGGCAAATTGTGTTCAGCTGTGTTTCAGCAGTGCAAATACGCTCACGTGTAGGTGTAAAAAAAGCTGCTTCCAATACAAAATAAGAAAGTCTCAGGCAAAGGCAGCTTCTTTAAATAAACCTGAAGGGGAAAAGCCAGCAGGGATCTGTTAGCAGGAAAGTTTGAAGCAGTTAAGCTCTCACTGGAGGGCTGTATCCTTCCTCTGTATTCACACCAAGCTCTGAACCCTGAGGCTGAGTTAAGGGTTCATTTCTAGAAAGATATCCAAACCTGATGGTAAAGATTGAGATGACAGCAAACTCACCGAATCCTTTGAAATAACAGTTCGAGATAGATTCGGCAGCTTTAAAATGCTGTTTAATTTTGACATTTTATGAATAAGATGCTAAAAACCCAAGAGATCAAATTCTGGTCCCAGGGTATGGCTGCAGCTCCGGTCCATCCCCACACACACCCAGCACAGGTTTGGTTATGTTCTGCCTTTGCACCAAGATGTGAATCACTGTCTGGAGGTATAAGGCAGGAGAGCAGGAGTGGTCCCCAAATAAACCTCCTAACAGGCAAAGTTCTTTCCCATTTCTTTAAGTTATCTATTTTTTTTTTTTTTTTAATGCAACTAATTGTACTGGAAACAGCATAGTGTTGCCCACGGGAACTTTCTTGGGCTTCACCTGAAGTTGCTTTATTTCCTCCTGCAGAAGAGTGTGCCCAGATTGCCTTTAGCCCATTCAAACACCCAAAGGTTTAACCAGAATGCGACTTTAATTTTCTTTACCATTTCATACCCCTCTTCTTTTACGAAGAATCCCGTCTGTTTCAGGGCACACTGAAGCGCTGGGTGGGGGGCAGAGGCTCGCAGGGTCAGCCCCGAAGGTTCGCTAAACCCCGAATCGACGGCAAAATAAATCGCTGCCCCGTTCCGGCTGTGCGCATTCGGGACGCCGGGCTGAAAATCGCCCTCTCGGCGCCGCGCATTCCCTGCGTTCCTCCGCTCCCCTCCGCGCAGCCGGAGCCGCGTCCGCGCAAACCCCGCGAGTGGAGGGAAACGGCGGTGAAAAGCACCGATATGGGGAGAGCAAAAATCGCCCCGAGGGCGCGGGTGCGATGCGGGAGTGACTGCGTGAGATTCGCGGGTGCGCGGGATCCCCGGGTTTGGGGCCTGAGCCCGGGGCCCACCCGGAGCTCCGGCACGGCCTGAGAGCTCAATTAGCATTATCTTGATGAATTTATAGGCAGCGAGTCCTTGCTGTGCCTTTCAGAAGTCGCAGGGCACTCTGTCCCCATCTGTTCCTTCATGATTATTAGTTCCTTTTTCTTTTTCTTCTTCTTCTTCTTCTTCTTCTTCTTCTTCTTCTTCTTCTTTTTTAATTTTATTTAATAGTAATCGTTGACCTAATATATGTGGCTGAGGGAGAGGGGGAAGATGAGACCCCTACAACGTCAATCAAAACTCTTCCTGAAGCCCTCCCCACATGGACGCTTTCTATCTCCCAGCGGTACCGGCAAGATGTTCTTAGCCAAATACATGATTCTATTAATGAGCACTTATATTTGCTAAGGAATGCAAATTCTTTCTCTCCGTGTATTATTAGCCGTATCAGAATGTTTGTCCTTTCAGTCCTCTTTGAAGTTGAAGGAGGAAAGGCTGTTATGTGGCACTGAGAAGAAAAAAAAAAGAAAGGGGGGGGTAAGGGGGGGGGGAAACACTTCTAACTCCTCCGGGTTTTTATTTGTTCTCTTGCCAAAAACGCCAAAGGTAGCAAAAGTTACAGAAATTATTTAAAATGTGTGGTTTTGTTGTTGTTTTTTTTTTTCCCCTCCAAATTAGGTAGATTTTTTTTTCCAACTGATCGTCCCCTTTGAGTAATAACGGGATCTAATGAACAGCCTGCTTTGAATTGACTCGATAAAATAGCCTCTGTGATGCTCGAGAGAATCTATTACGAGTTGGAAGGGAATAAATCCCATTGCCGCCCCGACCGCGGGAACGCCGCGCTCAGCGCACCGAGCCCCCGGCCCCAGCCCCCCTCCCCTCGAGGGCCGCCCCATCCCATCGCTGAGCCCGGGGGGTCGGGAGGTCCCGGTGGGGCTGAGCCCGCTGCCCGCTGCGCCGTGCGGTGCGGAGCGACTCCCGCAGCTCCATGGGACCGCATCCCCCCGGCGCAGCGCAGCCTTTGTGAGCGCAGCGGTTCGGCTGCAGTTTGGATTTTTTTTTCTTTTCTTTTTTTCTTGCGGATAAACGAGGAAAAAAATAAATAAATAAAAAATAAAGAGAGCCCGTGAGCCGGCGAAACTTTTGTCGTGTATCACTTTTCCTCTTGAAAGGTGTTATAACAGCAATTCAATTACAGTAAATAGTGTACATCATCTTCACAGCTGGAAAATTCTGTAACTAACTGTGACCAAACGCTGTAAAGGAATATAGCTTAACCAGTATTACTTTTTTTGTCGCTGACCACAGGTTAATTAATTTCAAGGAGC